CTATAATTGTGTCTATAATGATGGTACTCGACGAGTTAATAGTCTTTTTATGGGATAAGTCGGTAACCTAGTAGACGTATCACCTGATGTTAAGTAATCGCCGTTACCCTGAACACCTGGAACACCAGAGGCGTTACAAGTACATGATAATGATAACACGAAACAACTGTACTTGCAACGGTCTAGAGTCCTTAGTTTGTATTACTAACTAAAATTTTATAATCATCAGCATCATCAGCCGAATTTTGCCATTGAAAACTTACACTGGAAGTCCGAATAACACAACTCGACCAAACATATCTAGTATTTCATCAAATACTTCTAAAAAAAGAACAGGCTTGTTATTTGGAAAAATCAATAGGTACGCCTGTTTGAAGCTTAGAGCTTTGTTTGTAGTTTTTTATTTGTCCCCTAACTGTAGATCAACTGAAAATATATTTTTCATTTTATTTGGAACATTTTTCTACTCGAATAGTTCTAGGTACAGTTGATTGGAGTATGTCAGTTGTAGCGATAGCTTTTGTTTCTCAAGAGGCAGATTTTTGAATTAGAAATACATGCGACAAAGGGCGTGGTTGTGAATCATTTGTGTAGTTCTTTTTACTACTGAAAGGATTATGCCCGAATACTGAAACGTTACTCAATTTTAAGTCGTGCTCAAATATCGTGCCATCTCTGTCATTTCATAAAGAATTTGTAGAGACAGAACTATACTTAAGCGCGACTTAAAATTGAGTAACGTTTCAGTATTCCGACATTAGACTGCCTCATTGGCTCAGTGGTCGCAAGTGCTAAAATGGCTGGACTGATTTTGAAATAGTTTTATGGGCACCTGCCCATAAAACTATTTCAAACTTTTTACTTACTCCTTAGTACATCAGCTACTAAGCTGATGTACTAAGGAGTAATATAGGCAAATTTTATTTTTAAAATTGACACAAGAGAACGTCATGTTATAAAATTCATATTTTACGGGGACGAAGTCGCGGGCAACAGCTGGTCAAGAATATTATACTTCTTTATTATTACATATTGTTCTATGGTACAGACTGTCTCTCTTTTTTACAACAAAAACAAATCAACTAGATTCATTAACATTTTAAAACTACCGCTTACAAAGTAATTTGTAACTCATCTAGACCTACCTAAAAATCTTATTGTACCTTTCAACCTAAAATTCAATAAATCGTTAAAGTCGACGATATCCAAGTACCTAATATAAAAAAAAAACACTTTTCCACGAAGTAGGTACCCACCTACGAAGGTTTAATCTCTTCTAGTTGCTAAGCAACCAGTCAGTCTCTCGCTCCTACTAAGCTGGATATTTTCCAAGAACTTCATACCAAGAATATTGGAATACGGATTCCTTTTATAAAGAACGTAGGTGTACTGAAATAAGAGCTATAAAAGTAGGAGGAAAAGCACTGGAGAAACTGCTTGATGTCCTAAAATATAAATAAAATAGAAGAATAAAAGTGGGGTTTTAGTAAACTAGTTTTACCCTAGATTTTGTAACATATGAAGGTTTTTTAGTCCCAATTTAATGCCTTCTTTGTAGTTCTGATGTAGTGTGTACTGTATAGTCTCTTGGTAGACTAAACACACTTTTCTTGATTTAAATGAAAGTCAATAGTTGAGAATAATAATTTGTATTGTAGAATAATAAACTAACGTAAAATGGATTGAGTGAACTGTATGAGCGTGAGTGCTAATGTGAGTTATGAGAACGCACGGCGGACTTGATTGCTCGATACGAACTGAATCGAATAATTAGGTAAATGAATTACGATGCGGAAAAATGCTGACTTTAAATGTGTACGGTTGCACCGTACATGTACATTTAAATATAATAGAAAGTCGGCGTAATACCGTACTACACTTCCAGTTGTATGTTATTATTAAAAAATTAAATACTACTCGGTCCTTCTCGTCTTTTTTTGAGTGGGTAAAATCATCCAAAATTGCTTCTCCCGCCCGGGTGAGGCGAGAGGGAGTGTCAGACTCATACTGACTAAGACTAAAAACCACCTCTTTCCTACTCCTACTCTTCGAACCGGAGCCCCGGCAACCGTTAAGTCCTCCACGGCTCCGTATTGGCGTCAGCCCTGGGCCCCATTATCTTGTTTGGCTATCACTGGACCACACGACCGACGAAGCATTCATAGAAAAGTTAATCCCTAGTACAATATAATATCTACTAGACAGTAACTAATTAACAACAGTTAAAAAAAAATAAACAAAATAAACCTTAACCTCATTTTGACTGCACGGTTGGTGCGGTGGCTGGGCAACCGGCTGCCGTGCAACGTGTCGCGGGTTCGATTCCCGCACGGAACAACACTTTGTGTGATCCACAAATTGTTGTTTCGGGTCTGGGTGTCATGTGTATGTAAACTTGTATGTTTGTAAACGCACCCACGACACAGGAGATAATCCTAATGTGGGGCAAGGTTTTTTAAAAAAATTAAAAAAAAATCTAAGAAAACGAGCAACCAAAAAAAATAAAATAAATTCCGTATTTTCAAATTACAGAGAAATATGATCAAAATCTACAACCCTCTGAATTCGAGTTTGTATTAAAACAGATTTAATTCAGGCTACAAAATGTCTGCCTAGATTTTCAGACTAATTTGGGGCTTATGTGGTTGGGGATCGGCCGCCGAGTCTGGATTTAGTTACCTCCCTATTTCTCTACTTATTGTTTGAAATGGAATGAAGCTTGTAGGATTATTTGCTTTGCTTTAAATATAAACCCTGTTTCGTTAGCTGTGTTTGTTTCTAATTGGTTTATTTGATATTTGTAGCATTAGTGTGGTGTTTTATTGCCATTTGTTGATAATAACCACTGCATTTTGTATAAACAAATAGAAACATATTAACAATCATTGTTATCATCATCTAAAGACTCAACAGCTGGTGAAATTTCATTGCCGTCATGGCTTCCTGTAAGAAAGCTTGCCATGTCCTCAGCGCTTAGCAGGCAGTTCACAAATTGCAGTTTCAAAGTCAAAGTGAAAGCATTTATTTCAATTAAACCATTATTTGGTACTTTTGAAACGTCAACAAAATACAAAATAAACTAAGGTCTGTCATTATGTCTGTCAGTGAAGCTAGGGGCTCATTCCAAAATGTAGATTCAAATGGAGAAGAACGAGTAAGAAACTCCATTCGATTCGTTACTCTTTTAAAAAAAGTATGTTCTACAATATCTCTGATACATATCCCAATATTGTACGTATTATGTAAGAACAATGCAAAGACATGTTTGACGCATTATATAAATTACAAAACTTACTAAAATAAAAAATCGTATTTATGTTTAATTGCTTGAATGAACTGATATGATACAATAGAAAATCCATTGTGTCTCGCGCAGATCCGCGTTACACACAAAATGTTAAAAGGTTCAGGTTGAGCAAAGAAGGCTACAGTTCTGTATTTATCTATCAATTTCATAGTCCCTTAACCTGTGAAGCGTCGGAACTCAGATCTTCAAGGGAAACAATATATTTTCTATTGTGTTTCATATATCGACAGACAAGATGTCAATCGGCTTTTACAATACTCTCCCGAAGAGTAGCAGTATCACAAATGTATTCGACTTTACCGTCAAAACACTATTTTATCTCCTACTTAGTACAACTAGTGCCTGTCCCTTAATGTTACCCTTTATATGTGCGATGTTTATGATATTCCGTAACTGCTAGGCTCAATGATCTATTCAGCATTTCATTTGGCTGCTAGATATATGTCTAAATTCTAGCAGTGGTAACCAAATCTAGGTTATTGAGATATAGGCTCACCCCCTATTACAGGACTCATAACATACATAGTGAAAAGTGGGTGTTACATTGCACAGTGGGATTAAGTGCCTTAATGTGCACCTCTGCGGCGTTCCGCTCCCTTCGGAGATAAAAAAGCGTGATGTTATGTTATGTTATTGAGACTAGCCATTAAAAACTAGCATTGTTTACTTATCTCAAATTCTGTATTGCTTCACTATTCTGAGAAGGCACAATCAAAGCTAAAGAATCGGAAATTATTTAACAATCTTTTAAATAACATAGTAAGTATTGCCTAAGTGAACAATATTTACCCAACTCTAGTTAAATAGATTACGCATCACTTATTTTAGAAGAGATCGGACAAGCTTTAAAGAGTCAATTGCAATGAGAAGAATCTAGGGACTTGAACCCAGAATTTAATTCACTGTCATAAAACTAACAAGTTACTTCAAAATTTTGAAATGAATCAAACATTCCATTTAGTATTCAATCCAAAGATGACTGAATATTACCATTTCCCATACATTGCCATGTCCGTTCGCAAAATTATTTTCCCAAGAACTTATACTTACCATGACAGTCCCTAAATTATACTTACAACTTTTTATACTTACTTATCTCTTTCATCACTGACAAAATTCTCGAACAGATAATTACAGCCTTTATAAGTTGTCCAGCATTCGCTTAATCTTATAGTACGATTGTACTGTGTTAGGGTAGGCAGGTGCACCCTTACGACCTTGATATTCTAACAAAAGTATTAAGGTAGGTCAGGGTAGGATGGATGGAAAGAGAAAGTTATGTATGTTACTTTATATATTGTTTTTGTGAAATTTGTTCTCTTGTTGTTGAATTGTTTTACAGTGATTGGTTTGTTTGTGTATAAGTTAAGGCAATAATAACAGTGACGCCAGTGATTTTGTTAACATTTAAAATTTTTGTTTGTTATATTACTCTGTTGTTTCTCTATTTATTATCATTTAGTACGAGTGTGTGAGCAACAAGTATTGATGTTTAATTTAATTGAAGTATTTGAAGCTTTGTTTAAACTTGGAATTAAAATTCGTATGAACAATGTGTTTATCACTGGCATATTTAAAAATAGATTTAAATTAGTAATTTTGACACTTTGATAATTGTTTTTAGGTAATCAAATATAGTTCACTTTCACCATAAAAATAAAAAGGGAGATAAATAATTTAACACCAATTTGTATACGACGATTTAATTCAATCGTTAGACATCAATAGAATACATTTCTTAACATAAAATTTGACTAGATAGTGACTAGAATTCCCGAGCGGGACACCTGTTGCTTTTAGACGTCACAATATATGTATAGAGTCTTTATTTTGACTGGCTTTTGCCGCATCCCGAACAGGAAGATTGAAACAACACTGAAGAAGAATCGTCACGGGGTCACAGGGTTAAAGAAACACACGAGGAAGTGATCCGAAACGAAGTGGTCCGAAACGAAGAGATCCATTGTGGTGAGATTTACTTGCGGGTGGGCTCGGGGCCCAGCAATACTCAGGCAACACCTATCTCGCCTATCCCCTGGAGCAGACGGGTGCGGAGATTGTTGAACACCGGGTGCTGGCAAGAAATGCCCAGCCCGTTCAAGAAGCGAAGCGTCTCCTGCGCGCACACCAGGAATCCAAGCTGCTCCGGATCCATGTCAGGTGGCACCCAGCCAATGAGATCTTCGTCGTCCAGCATGTCCTCGCGGTCAGCACGCTGCAGATTTTCGTCTATCTCAGCGGAGCAGATTCTTCCAAAGAGACGACGCAAGGCTTCCCTTTTCTCAGCATTCACTGAAGATCCTCCCCTCAGCGGCTCACTGCGAGAGCGCTTACGAATTCCCTTGCGCTTAGGACGGCGCTCGGGGTTTTCGTCGCGTTTACGTTTGTTCATCATTATCAGTTTGCCCGACGGCATCGAAACACAAACTGCGAATGGGCTATGCACTGGGAATTGAAGGGCCCGCGATTACACCGATACTTGCTGTCCTTGTCTAGGGGTGGGGCGAAGCGCGCGTTAGAGCGAGACAACAAGGTCAGCTGCAGTGAGAACAGCTGGGCGAGCAGATGCAGGGCGCGGGGCACGCACGCTTTGTTTGATAAAGTTTATTCGGGGAAATAAAACTGTTAGCCGCGATTGCGCGGCCCGGCGGGAGCGGGGGGCGCGCGGGGCGAGAGGACTAGCCCGGCCGGCAGCTGCGACGCATCTGCCGCTCAGGTGAACCTACGTGCCTCGTCTCAAGGTGCCGACGTCGTGTAATTAAGCTACAGATCGGCTCGAATGTAAACAAAGCAATAGATAGCTATGTCTAACGCGCGTAATCAATGTCCTGTAGTCCTTTGTCCCTGGAATTCATGTTCAATACACGAACAGCCGCGCAGACACCTTAGTTTCTAAGCAGTAATTATGTTAACGTGACCTATATAATATTAGGTAGGACCGGTAAATTAAACAAAGGGCTTGCAACAAAGAGATTGCGAACAACAGGATGAAATGGGAATGTGAAACAAAGATAGTTTTAATAAAGGAGAATTTCAGTAACATTCACGACTTAAGCTTCCGACAAGCGTAATAGGAGAGGTTTCATTCGAACAAAAACTCAAATATGGACAGTGGCTGTTTCGTTTTTCACTTCCATTTACGAGACTGAAAAATGAAACAGTTTCGAGGTTCATCGTTTTACGGACAGTTCATGCTCGATGGTAAATACATAGGCATCTATGTAAAATGTAAAAATCAATACTCAGGTTTATGTACTACCGGGAAACGAGCTGTCGACGGTCGTATGTATCAACTAGCGACTGATGTATGTGTATGTAGTAGTACATACATATCAGGTGGCTGAGTGGTGGTGGTGTACGAAATTTCCGATAATCCGCTTCAAAGTCAGGTTCCATCATCTCAAAATAAGGGCGAGATCCCATTGTGTGTTGCAAGAAGCACTGGCAGGTTACACAATGGTCTTGAGTGGATGCCGGCGTGTATACTTGCTCATAGTTCACTAGTCGCCTCCAAAACTATTCTAACTAATTCCAAGACGAGCCCGAGGCAGTGTCTGTACGCGGCTTTATTGGACCTTTGTGTTGCTAAATGAATTCTTACTCTTTATTAGTTTTTACTTGAAAGAATTTTAAAATAAAACCTCTCAAGATTAGTTCTTTAATAACATTTTTGTCTGCCTCATTGAGTTATATAGTTATACATACAATATATATATATATATATATATATATATATATATATAATTTCAAACAAATGACTTCTTTCTACTAACTTTGTATATTTTGTTTATTATATTAAACGACCCACTTTGTAGAAGAAAGTACTATATACTACGGATCTTATAATTCAATTTTAATTAGAAAGCTACTTCGAAACCTTGGCAGCGTCTACCAATATTTCCTTGGGTGGTTGATCAAGATAATTCTATCAAGTGTCTCAGTAATTGACAACTTTAAGTAGCTGTTTTGTACTTGGAACCTCTTATCTTCAGAAGATTGGAAGATCTTCTTCTCCTCTTATAATATCTTCTGATTCACTTCGTTGCGGGAACCAAGACAGTTACTCATGTCCCTGGGACGCGCCGGACTTCAGTGTTCCGGTGTTTTCATGGTTGTATCTACTGTAGATCCTGGCTTACAGGAGTTGCAGCGGTTTTGGGAGGTTGTGGCGGGCTTGTCCCATAAAAAAAAAAGATTGGAAGATAACATCTGTTTTTCTTGATTCGAATAAAGATAAAGGTGTAGTTACTTATGACTAATTAAGTAAATATACATTGATCTAGGGACAATCCCAATTTGTTTAGATATTATGAGAACAACGACTGCCTCTTTGGCCGAGTGGTCGTAAGTGCGACTAGCCGGGCAAGGGGTCTCGGTTTCGAATCCCGGGTCGGGCAAAATATTACTGGGTTTTTTAAAACTGGAATTGTGCCCAGTATATCGCAATAGGCTCACCCCCTATTACATGGGACGCATAACATAAATAGTGAAAAGTTTGTGTTACATTGTACAGTGAAATTAAGAGCCATAATGTGCACTTCTGCTTACCCCTTCGGGGATAAAAGGCGTGATGTTATGTATGATATTATTATAAGAACAATTTATTTCTGTTTTTGTTCGGCTTACTCACGTAATTGGTATTAAGGTCTCAGAATACAGTTTTGAGTCTTCGTATTATGAAGTATTTAGAAAAAAGTAACGGTTAACCAAGTAGGTAACTTATCTCGCAGTACCTACATATCTACAATCTACAAGTATCACATCATCATCAACAACCTATAAATGCCCACTGCTGAAGTTTTGAGCATTAATCACCACGCTTGCTCAATGCGGGTTGGCGATTTGAAACTTTTAATTAGAAATTGTAGGTTATTCAGGGTTATAGGTTTGTGTCCAGGTTTCCTTCACCGTTTGTCAGTGATGTCTACATAATCTTACACAATCCTATAGCTTTACTCTTAGCTATCCATACCAACAAACATATACACATACATACATGCTGTAACGAGTCATCAGATTAGTGTCATAGTGCTACCCAAGGCCGTAGGTACATAATGGTAATAGTATCAGAATGTTACCGAGAAATCATCGATCGATTACTTAGCAAGGGTAGACGGAACTAATAATGGAACGTCAGCTTCAGTGACAGGGTACGGAAACTGTAGTTAGAGGGAAATAGGTTTAATAAGGACCTTCCTGGATGAAATTCGCTCCTGCAGATATTTTGTTCATGAGTATTGGAAGAAATTAGAATTGCTTTTTGAGTAGCTTTTAGTAATTGGGTACCTACTTGCCAACTACTCAAATTCAATACTTTTTCGAACTGTCAAAAACGACTGTTTCCTATGAATTTATGAGTTTTATATGAGTTTGTGTATTGTGACGTCACGTTCTTTTTTAGCGTCAAACGGTATACTTATTTTTTTTTAATGCTTGAAGAATACTACATTTCGATGGGTCCTATGTATATGGGCCAAAATGCAAAATTACAACTTTACAGGAGAGGCTTCCAAAGTTTAAATTTACTGTAACTTCAGATTGATAAAACCGAACTTTACGATTATTTGCTTGTTTGCTAAGACAACTATCCTCCTCATTTATACTATAGTATTATATATATACATATATAGGTTTTTTTTTAAAGTCACATTGGTCCTTCTACGTTAGTTTTTGTTTAAATTATTTTTCTTTAAAAACACCCTAAAAGGGCCAATGTGTCATTTTGGCCATTATTCGAGTATTACGCTAATTGGCTTAAAGTATATATTTTTTACATTTTTTACCCATAAAATCAAGTATCAATTGAAGTAGTTGATAATTAATTAACAAAAATGTAAGCTATTTAGATATTTAGTTATTTATGTCATATTGACACTTATACGTTTTACAATCTGGTACCCTACGAACTGTGTTTTCATTTAGATCATTTGATTAATAAAAAAACACGCAATAGTTTTATTCATTTATTGAAATAAAAATTGAATTAGCTTTAAAACTTCACTCATGGACCCGTTTTCAGTCTTTTTGGTATTTTCATAATAAAAAATAGCAAAAAAAATAAGTAAGAAGGAAACTGTTACTGGTGATCTTAGTTTGATTAACAAAATAATGTACTTCACTTTATAAGTATAATTACAAAAAAAATAACTAAATTATAAGCCTATCTGGTGAAAACAAAATAAAAAAAATGTCTGTAGTGTAATCAAGTAATAAGATTACCAAAATAAACATTACTAGAAATTGCTGCTAGTAACAGCTGATTATAACATAGTTGCAGAGGAATATTTGTAGGTCTATCGGCAATTTGCCTTTTTGTTCGTACTGGCTGATCTAAAATTTTAATATGATTTTCAATAGCGATATAATAAGTGAAGATCACTTAAATCATATTTATAGTATAAAACGTATGGTTTATCTCGCCTGACACGAATCTGTTTTATTTTAGACCAAATATTTTTTTGTCCTTCTGAGTTTTTAGTCCAATTAAAGTGTGTATTAGTCTGCATCTTTTTGAAGTCATAAATCATATTTTGAGCTACGTCTATGACGTTATAAGGACTTCCTTTTGATTTCGCCCATCGAATCAATGAGCTCCATTCAGAGGGTGTGTAAATATTTTTATATTTTGAAGCTCTTTCAATAGTGGCGTGTATGGAATCGCCTTCATTTTGAGTGTGGCCTACTTCAAGAAAAGTATGCTTTATATTCAAATTAATCTGTTTAGCAGCGTACAGATACATAAAAAACAGAATCCTGTTTCGGTTTTGGCCAGTGTAATTGTCTGACCAAAATCTGAAGTCGTCACAACCTTCTTGACTTTTTAATTTAATTATATCATAAATACAACTCGCTATTTCGTTCGCACCCTTCATTGCAATTTGTTCATTCTATAACTAGCAGGTACCAATTAACTTCCCAACATCGAAAATTGATAAGTTATGTACTTTCAACCTTTAACTGTAATAAAATAGACTAATTTCACCAATTGGGGACAACAATATTTTTTGTAAATCAAAAGTAGCGCAGAATATTTTCGTGTCATTTTGTGAATCACGTTTATCCTTTTCTTTTAAGGATCTAGCCTGAATTTGGCTGATTATATGATTATCAAAAAATATTTTATTTTCAGGAGTCACAGAACCGTTTTTGAAAGAATGACAAACATGGCGTTGGTCTTTTTTTGGCTGGTGAATTGATAAATTAATATTTTTGTTTACTATATCCCTGTATTGCCTTAATGACTCATATTTATTACCATATTTAGATGGATCATACCATTCTTTGTATAACTTGAATATTCGGTGAATCAACCGGTTGAAAAGACTTGACGTGGTCCAGCACACTTTTGATCATTACTGCATCAATAGATGTTTTATGGTGATCATGTCGACCTTTATTATCAACCAAAGTGAGCCTACTTATATCATAAAATTTACTCATTGCAGTTCTTATCATTTTTGGCCCACAACGAATGATGTTTAAAAACATCGTCTTGCATACCACTAGTTTCGACTTTTGTTTATTTTGAGTAATAGGCAAATGGTACACATAATATGTGTATGACCTTCGTGAGTCACCCTGGGTAACCGATCTTTTTTTATTTATTCTTACTACATAGTTAACAATAAAGTCATATTGCTTAGAATGATCTCCAATCATCCAAAATTTATGAAGTATAGCACTCTTTACGT